TGCCGGGAGCCCCCTCGGCCGCCGCTTGTCCCGTGCGTGTCGCTTTGGAGCCCCTCCCGACGAAACCTCCTCCTGCCCTGCCCGCAGCCCCGGGACATGGTCCGGGTAGAGGCCTCGGGACACGACGCGACGCGGCCCTGGCTCTGCGGATGGCGGAGCCCCGCGTCCTGCGTACCTGAGTTGAGGCTGCCTTCCTTGAGACTGGGCGAGTTCAAATAGTCCTCTTTGCAAACGAATTTGTTTTCGTCTATGATGTAGAGTTCCTCGCCTGTGGAGAGCTGTTTGTTGCAAACCATGCAGGTGAAGCAGTTGAGGTGAAACACTTTGTTCCGCGCTTTCCGGACCAGGTCGCTGGGGGAGATGCCTTGCGAGCAGCCGGCGCATTTGGTACCAAACCTCCTGCGAGGGGACAAAGCGCCGAGCTGAGAGTGGCGGGGGGGGCCGTGGGCTGCCCACGGGCTCCCGGGGACGGGGCGGGAAGACCCGCTCGCTGCCTCCCCACCAAAATCCCTGCTCCGTCCGCAGGGCTGCAGCAGGGCCCGATCCGCCGGAGCCTCCCGCTGCTGCGGGAAATGCCGTAGAAAAAATGGGCAGAGGGGGGATTCTGTCCTGGTTCGTCCGTGCTGGAGAGGAGGAGGAGGAGGAGAGCTCTTCCTCCCTGGGAGCCCCGCTCAAAGCGCCCGAGGAAGGTCTCGCATGTGCGGGGCTGCCTCTGGTCCCCGGGCAGGCGCTGCCTCGGAGCGGGGCGGCGGGACCCCGTATTTCGGAGGGGCGCAGTCGGTTTAGAACCGAAATGGAAGGGCAGGAAAGCGCAGCGGGGTGAAGGATTTCTCCCTCCGCGCTCTGCAGTGGAGAATTTCGTTTAAGCGGGGGCAGCGCTGCCGCCCGGCCGGGAAGCGCGGGCGGCCTCGCCGCTGGTCCCGAGCAGAGCCGTGAAAACAGCGGAAGGAGCGGCATCCTTATGCAGAGACCGCGGAGAGAGAGGGGATGCGAGCGCGGAGAGAGCGGAAACAAAAATGGGCGACGGAGGAGGGGATTCGGGTCCCCGACAGCATCGCCCGGCTCTCGGCGCCCGCCCGGCCGCGGGGACTGTCCTGCTCTCCCGGGCGTTTATTTGTCCTGGGCGAAAACACCACCGTGGAGAGCTTTAATTCTTCTTCGTTTCGTTGAAGGCAGAGTCGCTTTCCCCAGTCGTTGCTTTTATTTTATTTTCTTTTTCTAAACACTTGAATTGGCTGAAAACGATCTCCCCGAGAAGGAAAGAGGAAAATAAAAATAAAACCCAAAAATAATAATAAAACAGGCCAGGGATGGGTCTGTTACTGCCAGGTCCCTGGGGAGAAAGAAGACCAGGGGCTGGGATTGGGGGTGCCGCATGGCACGGTCCCCTTTTTCATTCCTCTCCTTGCCACAACTTCTGCCGCCCGCCTGGCTCCCCTTGACGTTGATGTAGTGAAAGCATTACAAGCCATAAGTCATTTCCCCCCTCTCATCCCGGCCCCTAATTTCCTCATCTGCACCTTATCGCGGTCATTAGGGGCATTTAAGGAGCTGCGGAGCCGGGGGGCCCAGCCCGGCCCGATCCGCCGAGCAGCG